GCCCTGCCCCAGGGGAACTGCACCATAATCGGCATTTTTTAAAAAGATTTTATTTATTTATTTTTAGAGAGGGAAGGGAGGGAGATAGAGAGAGAGAGAGAAACATCAGAGTTCTGATGAGAGAGTGCGGTTGCTGGGGGTTATGGCCTGCAACCCAGGCAGGTACCCTGGCTGGGAATCGAACCAGCGACACTTTGGTTCGCAGCCCGCGCTCAATCCACTGAGCTATGCCAGCCAGGGCAATAATCGGCATTTTAACAAGACCTGGGTGATTCAAAGGCACATTAGAACTTAGAAGCAGTTTCTAGAAATCTTCACCGCTACCGTGGTCAGTGGTGGCCAACAGCTGCATCTCACCGAGATGTTTCTCCGCCAGGCTCTGAGCTGAGTGCTTTGCATACGCAGCCAGCAGTATCTGATTTAAGCTCCCCCACATCCCCATGTGGTGTGTCCTAGTATTATTTACATTTTTGAAAGGCGAAACTGAGGCTCTGGGAGATTCAGGCATTGCTGAGATTATTCAGATAGCCAGTGGTGCGCCAGCCTGGATTTGGTCTGAGACTCTTGGCTCCAGCGTCCAGGGTCCCCGCCGGGCTCAGAGGTGTCCTCCTCCCGGCCCCTCCCACTCTCCAGGCCAGCTCACCCTGCATTCACTGGCTGCTTCCTCTCCAGTCTCTCAACCTTCTCTAAAGCGAAGTCATTATGAAAGGAACGCTGCTGTTCAGTGTACTCTCTACAAAAGTGCTTTGGGTCTTACGATTATGTTTAAGTAAGACTGACTGTATGCACGTCATCGGACCTGTATCAGGGGATCTCCCTCAGCCCTCCAGGGTGAGGTCCACCTGAAGAGAAGTGCTTGGAACGGCAGGTGTCCTCCGAGATGTGAACTCCCCTCGGCTCTGTTGAGATGCAGGAGTGTCTCAAACTTGACCTTTGGAGAAATACTTACGTTTGTAGCTCTGATCTGAACAAAGGGAGAAAGTAGTAAGACTTTGTGATGACTTTTGGTCCAGAGTTTATCAAAAGACCTCAGGGTGGGTGTGCCTATAGCCCGTGTACTCAGGGCCAGAGGTGAACGCTAGGACGGTGGTAGGGAAGTCTGGGAGAGGCGAAGGTCCGTGGTTCCCGAACTTGCTACTGACCTGCTCTGAGGGGCTGTTCCAGAGCAGGGCCGGGGGGCTGGAAGTGGTCGGGCCGGAAATAGGGATTCTCTGGGCCCCCTCACTTTCAACCAATTAGTACAGACTTTCAGTCTCATTTTATATAATAGGCCTATGGTGCCATTTTATTTAAGGGGCCTTTTCCTATTTTAAAAGTTTTTGTATATCAAAAAGCAACTGAATTCATGCTACTCTGTCCTTTGCAGCTGAGGCCTCTGAAGTTCAGAAGGGCACAAAGTGACTTCCCTGAGGTCACCCATTGTTTTGGCTAAAAACTATTTCTTGTTTTCCTCCTTTGCACACTGCTGGGCATTTGCTCCTCTGCTTCCCCGGGCGGTCAGCCCTTCGCATAGCAGGGGCACTGACCTAGCCAACTTCTCTTTGCCTTTAGGACTCCTTGGTGTGTGCTTGGGGAAAAACAAAACAAAACAAAAACGCTTTTTGGGGGTTCAGAGCTGAGCCGAGCCAGGAAGTCCCATGTTCTCAATGTTCTCCTCCTTCCCACACAGCGAGCCCACGTGGCACCCCCTCTCTCTCTGCATCTGTTAGTGTGTTGGAGGCAGCCTTGCAGAGAACACAGAATACCCCGGTAACAGCAACGCAGAGCGTCTCGTCTCTGGCCCACAGGCTAAGTTGTTGAAAACCCAACGTTAGAAAAATGGGCATTTAAGGAGCTCATGACCAAAAAGGCAGGATGCATCGGGAGACTACGGTCGCACGTTCTGACCTATGGGAACACTTTTGTTTTCCAATGTTCAGGAAAATAAGCCAATCAATGAAATACAGAAGCGAGACCATCAATGATGTGTTGCAATTAGTTAGAATGGATTTGTGAGTAATTTCCAGCTTATCATCCCTTATTCCCTAGAAACGTCTTCATGTGGCCTTGTGGCAGTTAATAGGCATACTAGGAAGCATCTGGTTGCTAAAAGTATCTCTCCACCCCTCCGTGTCCAGCGCCTTCCTGATCTTTTGTCTAAAAAGTTAGCTGCTAATCCCTGTCTCTTAAGTCTGTGCCCAGAGACGCTGCCCCGCAGCCCAGGGGCCGTCAGCCCCTTACACATGGCCAATTTGACAGAAATGTGTCAGTGGGCTTCTGACGCTTGGTTTCCTCTCTCTCAGCTCTTTCTTTCTGCCATTCACCTTTCCTGCCACTTCTGTTTCTAACCCATGCGTCTTCTCCCTGTAATTGTTCCCAATGGGATCAACACATACACTGGAACTGAAATGCTTGTTCTTTCCAAAAATAGGTTGAAGTTATACACACTGAGATTTCCTGCAAGGAAACTTAGATTCTCATTCTAAAAAAAAGAGAAAGTAGTTCATTGCTTTATTTAGGTACATAATGACCCCCAAGAATTTGGAGGTAAATAATAGCTCTCAAGTTCAATCACATGTACAGAGATGTTCTCTAAAAACTTCTGTAGGTGTCCTATCTATATGGGCTGATATTTAGAATTTTACCTTTGCTTCTTCTGTTCCTGGAAGATTTAGAGAATATTTAGCTGCCCCCCACAACACCAAAAAAAAAAAAAAAAAAAAAAGAATTCCTGTGAGATTGCAGGAAGCATGTCTAAATATATTACTTAGTAATATGGAACACGAGAGCAGTTTGCTGTCAACCTTGACAGTCTTTTCAATTACTTACTAGGATTAAGATCATTGAACTTGGCTTTAGGTAAATCTCCAGGGTAGGGAAGTGGTTGTCACTGAGTGTTTACAATGTCAACAGCACTTGGGAACCATGAAATGACACAAGGGAAAGGCTTGACCCTTGTCAGAGTTTGGCTCAAGTTCTCCTTGTAAAGCTTCAGTGCAGGACAGATTACCAGGTGCACCCGGTAGCTGGCAGGTTAAAGCAATCTTCACGCTGAAGGGCTTCTTGACAGTGTTTGCCCGAAGGGAGGGCCTATTAGATCTACACGTGCAGAGCAGACCTTGCAGAGATTAGTTTTCAGATTAGATAACAGAGACAGGAGTTTGTCGCTTATTTACTCACAGCCCCTTGCCCTTATTTTGCAAATCTAATCATAATATTATTTTGGCAGAGAAATGAAACTAGGCACTTCCTTATTTAATTCATTTTGTGCATTATTATTGTTCCCATCTAGGGTGGATCTATTGCCATTCTTTCTCATTTGAATTCAGTTAAAAGCAAAGTTCATTCCCAAAGAGAGAAGAAATTGTGGCTTGCAGCATGTGCTCCCCCCTGACTAGTTGCTTTCAACAGCACCACGCACTGCTTGGCTAGGGGCTGAATTCTTGAACTTTCCGTGCCTGGCTGAGACAAATCCAGACAGATCGAGCCCTGGAGCGGAGGACAGTGTCAGCTCCCCCCTGAGTTCCATGGGGACTCCATGGGGGGAATAGAGATGCTGGAATAAAATCAGGAACCTTTTAGAGAGGAGAGAGAAAGGAATGCATGCCTGGCAGGCAGCCAACAGCATCAAGTACAGTTATATTCTTGCAACTTCCAAGGTCATCTTTTTTTTTCATTCCTTAAGTACAACATACTCTTGGCCTTTTTCAAGGCCTCAAACACAGTGTTGGACCTTTAAAAATCATTGCTCCAAATTGTTACACACTTTGACTCCCACTGGAAAAAAGCTCCGTGAACCCCGATGTCATGCTTGACTCATCTGAATTCTCTTGGCACCCAGCGCAGGTTCTGGGCCGTCCCGGGCGCACAAAGCATGTGTTCAAAATAAATACATATACCTTATTCTCGAAATTCCCCCAGGACTCAAGGACCTCCGCATGTTTATAAAACAAACAAAACAAAATCCAGATCTACAAGGGTCTTGACAAGTCACCCTGGTGGTAGGGCTACCTCTCCCCTCCCCCCACCATTTTTGGCATTGACATTTTACTTTGACTTTATAGAGTCCATGACGACCACAAAGAGAATGCTTAATTTCTTTTCTTTTTTTTTATTATTATTTTAATCATTGTTCAAATACAGTTTTCTCCTTTTTACTCCCAATCCAGTCCCCCCTAGAATGCTTAATGTCTTAACCCATCATGAACATACCATAACTTAAGGGCGATTACGATATTTTGGATAGTTTGTTCCCGTTTTAACCCACCTAAGTCTTTTTTCCGCCCCCTGCCTTTTTCTCCTCCAGCATAAGAGGGGAAAAGGAAAGAGAATGGGAGTGCGTGTTAGCAGGCCCCGTGTGCATTTACTGCTTTTCTCGCACCGTCCCTGTGTTGGCTTGTCCTTAGTCCCACTTTAAAAGGTAAACTGAAAGCGTTCATTGGCAGCTGATTTTTCTTTTTCTTTTTTTTTTTAAAGATTTTATTTATTTATTTTTTAGAGAGGGGAGGGAGGGAGAAAGAGAGAGAGAGAGAAACATCAGTGTGCGGTTGCTGGGGGCCATGGCCTGCAACCCAGGCATGTGCCCTGACTGGGAATTGAACCTGCGATGCCTTAGTTCGCAGCCCGAGCTCAATCCACTGAGCTATGCCAGCCAGGGCAGCAGCTGATTTTGCTTAAGTCTTTCTCTTAGTTATCCATGGCTGCTGTGACTTATTATCTCCTGTATACACAGGAAAAAGGTTTTGGCTTTTTTGTCTGTGTTTTCCCGGTATTTCTGTCTCCGATGTTACTTACTCAACTTTTTGAAGAACTAATGTTTTCTGTGATTGTGTGAAGAAATTGTGTCGGTAGACGTTCAACAACTACATACACCGATGCAATCATACCATGATGAATGACGTAATGGGAGGGGAGGCGGCGCCTTGGCAACTGAGACATGAGTTTCAGAGAGAGGTTTCAAAATTTGCTCGGTTGTAACATGTCCGGCGAACTCACAGTCTTCTAACCTTTTGTTCCTTCAGGCTTATGTGCAGAAGTACGTTGTGAAGAATTATTTCTACTACTACCTATTCCGATTTTCAGCCGCTTTGGGTGAAGAAGTGTTCTACATCACATTTCTTCCATTCACTCACTGGAATATTGACCCTTATTTATCCAGAAGACTGATCCTCATATGGGTGGTAAGTATTGCTATTACTCACGGATCGCTACTACTTCTACAGCAAGTACCGGCCTTGGCATTCAAGTGCTTTGCACATATGTTCCTTTTTTTTTAATCACTTAGAGTTGAATTTTTGCCTGGTTTACTTTGGGAAAATACCAGGAAAAATTAAAATTCTATGTACACAACTTGTTCTGTCTGCAAACCAGACAAAGCTGCGGACTCCGTGCACTTTAGTGTCCGCCTCCCTGGGGGCACATAAAACTAGAAGAAGGGAGAAGTGATGTGCAGAGAAGACAGGGCCTTTCTGAGAACCCATGAAGTGCATCCCGAGGCACCCACTTTAGTAAAATTGGATCAAAAATTGAAACTAGAACCTATTGACTAATAACTCCAAGCGGTATTAAGTGAACTCTATAAACATCAGAGTGACAAAAGTTTATAAGGCAGGGCACCCCCCTGAGGGCACTGCTAGTGCAGTATGAGCAGCTGGCTTGGAGACAGAAGCCCAGTCCCAATTCTAGCTGGGGAGGCAAAACCCCTTTCTGAGGTTTTACTCAGGACTCTATTGTTTAACTTTCAGGACCAAATTAGTTCTTTTTTTATTATTATTGCTGGGGAGGTGGTGGATATTTGCAAGGCAGCAAGGTGGGCTGCCAGTGTGCAGGCGTTGGGATCCTAAAGGCCTGGGTTCAAGGGCAGCTCAGCCCTGCACTTGTCTGGATGTCCTTGCCCTCAGCCTCACCTGTCTCGTCAGTAAAATGGTGTTAATAATGCGTATCTCCCAGCATCTTCCTGAAGATGAACAGCGCATGCCCAGAGCTCGGGGCCTGGTCTGTGGGAGGACTGTTCAGGCTACTACTTGAGAACATGATAATTCACAGTGACTAGTCCGTGAAGACAAAGGAGTCTCAAAGAGCAAGACGTTCTAAGGTCAAAGATTGCTTAGCTAGGAGAGGGAGATTCAGGGACAAGGATGCCAGCATGACTGATTTCCTCCCTCAAGATTCTGCAGGGCAAAGGGAGGTGCAAACGTGCTTGGCTGTGTAGGAAGGAGTCGGGTTCTGGGGCAGCTCTGCTTTGTGAAGCGATGTGATTGTAAGCACGGGACTGCCATGCCCGACCCTGGACTTCACACTTTCCACCTGTAGGACAAGTTAAGAGTGGCCTTGATCAGGAGCCATGAACTCAAATGTCCCCAAAGGCAGGGAGAGAAGTAAAACAATGAAGGTCTGGGTGGAGAGAGGTGGCGAGGGTGGGGAATATCGGGGAGCGTCACAGTGCGAGCACATGGGGCACTGGGGCTCGGCCTTCCCTCTGCGCCTCCTGTGCCCGCTGTGAGGAGAAATGGGCCGGAGTTGCCAGGTCTGTCTTCACTTTGTAAATGCAGGCTTACATTTTAAAACCATCACATGCCAGTGGAGCACAGAATCCTTGAAGTCCAAACATAGAAGGCCTGGGTTGAAGCCTCCAGCCTAACGGACCACTCAAGTCCCCAGGGCTTACCATTAGGCTTATTTGGCCCCAAATTCTTCCCGTTTTCTCCTTTTCTCCCTAAAGCTACAAAGCCATTTTTCTTTCCCTGCCCCTATCTCCTGACCAGCTCTCTTCTGAAAGCCAGCTTCTGTCTAAAAGTACGATCCACCTGGCTGGTGTGGCTCAGTGGACTGAGTGCTGGCCCATGAACCAAAAGGCCGGTTCCCAGCCAGGGCGCAGGCCCGGGTTCTGGGCTGGGTCCCCAGGTGGGTGTGTGGCAGAGGCAACCCATCCATGTATCCTTCACACATTGCTGTTTCTCTCCCTCCCTCCCTTCCCTTCTCTCTAAAAAGAAATGAATAAAATCTTTAAAAAAAAATGAAAGTATGATCCTTTCAGATAGAATATGCATGTTGCACAAGGTGAATGGCAGGGCAGTTGGCCCCCACCCTGTCTGAATCCAGCTTCTACCCCTGCAGAGCAGGACGACACTGGGGAGCTGGGGGCGGGGAGGGAGCATGCCTTCTGTTTTTAAGATCTGAAAGTGCTTGAAAGACCCACCGTGCTTGAGTTTTTGGAGACACTAAAACAAGGAAATCCAACTTTCGTGCTGGTTGGGTGGGCAAATGATGTGAATTACTTTCAGTGACCTGGGAATATATTGTAATGTGTAGTATGGTCAGCTCACGGCTGGCTAATTATCTCCTGCACCCCCAGGGTGGGAAGCTTTTCCTGGGGGTGGGGGTGGTGGGAGACCATTGTCAGAGGGCTCTCTGATTATCTCTATTGGTTGTTATTTTCCGCTTTGGAGTCCTCATTTCAAAGTGTGCAAAGGATTTCCTGTTGGAGATAGAATTACCAGCCTTTTGTCAGAGAGTGAGCCAATAAAATCTTTGCCCGAGAAAGGAAAGTACTATCTTTGATTCTGCAGCTTGTCCTGAGCTTTGGCGACCTGTGACTTGCTTTTAAAAAATGGGTACACGGCCAAGGCCACAAGGCACCCAGACGGAGAGCAACATGTTCTGTGATTCTCATGTTCTGTGTGGTCAGCTGTGTCTGTAAGGCACTGCGTGTGGTCCTGGCAGTTCCTGGTGGAGAGGAGGGAGGCCATGGGTGGGTGGGGTGCCAGAGAGATAGATATGCGGAGATGGAGAGGAAGGAGAGGAAGAGGAGGAAGAGAGAGGGAGGTGGAGAAAGGTTGAGAGGTAGGAAGGGAGGGCGCCCTGCACTACACAGATAATGACGAGAGAGGCTGAGCTTGGCTCCAGCGTTGAAGGAGGAAGGGAAGGGAAGGGAAGGGAAGGGAAGGGAAGGGAAGGGAAGGGAAGGGAAGGGAAGGGAAGGAAAGGGAAGGGAAGGGAAGGGAAGGGAAGGGAAGGGAAGGGAAGGGAAGGGAAGGGAAGGGAAGGGAAGGGAAGGGAAGGGAAGGGAAGGGAAGGGAAGGGAAATTCCTGGTGGTGCTGGGGGTTGGAAGGGAAGGAGGGGTGGAGCAGGATGAGGCTCTTCTCAGCTTTACCGAGAGGCAGCCTCTCTCTCTGATGGAAGGGAAATCCCTGCTTTAATGACTGCCTCCTCACTGGGGTGAGGATTAAGAAATGTTAATCACCTAAGGGGCAGAGCTTGAAGTCTTGTCACTTTGAACATCTAATCACACCCAACAGCCTTTGGAAGGCAGCTGCATTCAGGAGCTCCAGACCTCCTGTCAAACTTTTTAATTAATTTTACAGTTGTTTTTGGATGAAGTCCCGACAGGTTCTATTGCTTTTACAAATCACTTGTTAAATTCAGGGTGACTCACAGGGTCTGGAATAGCCTAGCAGAACTTAGGTCCTCTAACTGCTTTATCGTCACCATCGCAATTGTTCCGGCCTCTGCGGTACATCTTTTCTGGCTTTTGTTGGCCTCCATTTCATTATGTTTTTTTTCTCATGACCATATTTGATCTTCATAACAGTCAGTATCATTTTTATCATCTTTTAGATCAGGATAGTAATACTTCAAATGCTGGTAAGCCATGTCATATGTTGCATTTCACTGTAATAGTGCCTTTTACATTTTACCTCGTGTAATCCTGTCAGCAATCCTGATAAGTGGTTATTGCTGGCCCATTTTACAGATCAGTAAACTGACATGCAGAAAGGCTAAATAACTTGCCCAGGATTACATTGGATTGAGTAATGTGGCTTTCTGTGCTAAAGAGAGAGGAAGGGCTACCGTCTGTTTCTTAGAAGAACAGCTAAATGATGTGAAAAGCATTCACTGATTTTTTTTTAAAAGAGATGTTAAAGCTGAAGCTTGAAGCATTAAAATGTTGTGCCTAATATTCTCTTCTATTGCTTTTCTGCTGTGACTGTGTATGAGGTTGGCCAGATTGCATTATCAATTTTATTCTACGTAAATGTCTTTTATATGCCTTTCTTGGCAGTCAAAGGTATTTTATCCCAGAAAATAAGCTTTTGTTAAGTTAACCAAAAGATATCAACTCAAGTCGTTATTTCTGTCATCTGTCACTTACCAGAGTTACTAATGTGTCACTGGTTGGAATCAGCAGAATCTTTGACTTAGGGACAGAAAAGGTGATGAATGGGTTATCTAATTAGATGCTCATAAAAAGATATTGTAGATAGTGCTTCAGAACGAGCCACGGTCCAACCGAGCGACTAGCTGATCTCTTGACTTCCATGTGCAGCATGGTGACGGCCCCACCAAAATTTAACACAGAGGTCTTAAATGCTGGTGCTGTATCTTACAAAGGTTAGGGGCAAGTTCATGGAAACTGCATGGTGTTCATGAACTTGCTTTATCACATGGAGCAAAATTCACTTTTGGCTAAATAAGTTTGTTTTCCACTTTGTAAAGTAGCAATGCACATATCGTTGACACAATGGATTCTTGGAAGGCTCATTCCCTCTGTTCTTATGATACTTTACTGTTTATATTCTGCCTCTTTTCATAGATACTTCATGGCATTCAAGATGAGATATACCAAAAAAATGGGAAAAGTAGATAAAATCAAAATTAGGAGGAATGCAGACAGGAGAGGATATTCAGATCTAGTCTAAAGTTAAATGTAGCTTAATGATTCTAAGCTGAGCCATGAATTTGTCTTTGAACTTGGCCTCCACCAAACCAAAATGAAATTTCATTTCTCCAGAGCATTTGAGGTCCTGCTTCCCCGCCTATGTGTCAGTTTGCTCAAATAAACTCTTATCAGATAAAAGTTCTCAAAAAAAACAAAAATAAAAAAGAGCAATCCACTGGGAAATAATAGGCTTACTTCTAAGAGAGGAAATGTTTTCCTGCCCCATAGGGCTGATAAACACGTTATGACCAGTGATTCATATGCCAAAATTATTTCCCTCGATATATTGCTTGGTTTTAGTGCCCCCATCACCTATGCGGGAGTACTCATTTTGACGTCTCCTCATGAGCTTTGTGTCTGGTCAATATTTTTTTAAGACGTTATTTTTTTTGTTTTTAGAGGTAGGGGAAGGGAGGGAGGAAGAGAACACACCCCGACCAGGACTGAACCCGCAACCTAGG